TGTTAAAAGAAAGCCGTTTTGTGTCCTTAGATTCGCTTATATAGAGTTCGCGGACAAGGATTCCGTGGAGACGGCGACAGCGCTCGACGAGTCGCTCTTCAAAGGCCGACAAATTCGAGTGAATTATTGTTTTATTTAACATTTTGTTTAAATCTTTATTTCAAACAATTCTCAAAGAGTTAACAAATAAACTACAACTGAATGTCCTTTAGGTGAGCGCCAAGCGAACAAATAGGCCGGGAATCAGTTCGACGAATCGTCCGCCCAGAGGCTCCCGTGGGTCCCGACGCGGGGCATACATGGGTCGCGGCGCCCCCTGGTTTGGCGGCAGACCTTCCAGAAGACCGTGAGTTATTCATTTAGATCTCTGTTCCCTACCATCAGAAATGAATCACTGATTTAGATTCAAATGACTTGTTTTTTGAACGTAATGTGCAAAACATACTCATTGATTATAATCGTTGTTTAGGCGTAGAGGCGGTTGGTTTGGTTACAGTCCCTATTGAAGCGCTTTTTTGGTATAGTATTCTGCGGTATATATATATGGAGTTCAATCGCATCTGTCAACCAATCATTCAGTTTTCATAATTCATTATATCTTTCACTTAATGGTACGAAAATCCCTTAACATCTGATGCAGAGAGTAATGAATGAATGAATGGACGCAACGTTTTTCAAAAAAATAATTAAAATATTACAATAAAAAAAAGAAATAACTTTTAAAAATGTAAAAAATTGAATAAAAATTGTAATTAAAAAAGAGTTGAAAAAATGATTGAAAAGAGAATTGAAAATTAAAAGAGAAAAATTGAAAAACTAAAAGAAAAAGACACAAAACGGGAGCACTTCTGCATCAGTTTGTAGGGAAAGACTTTCTGTTTCTCATTTCAGGTCAAAGTGTAATTAGAGTACAGTAACTGTGGGCACACGTATCACAACAACCGGTGCTCTTCAGTAAATAAGTTAATCGACGATATTATAGGAAAACTTATTTATTAATGGATTGTTTTTCGATAATAAAATTAAAGGTCTTTATTGACAAAAGGATGGGTCGTTGTTGTTATGGCTGTGGATGTGGTGAGTGATGGCGAGGGCGCCTCCCTGTACGAAGCGGACAAAGTTGTCGCCAACGATTGGTCCCATAGCGTAAAGTCCCGGAGAGGCCAGACTTTCGTGAGTATATGAGTTGATGGCTATTGGGTTAGATCGGGGATCAATGGCTACGTTTTTCTTGATTCCCAGATCTGCTAATAGACTCTTAGATTTGATGAAATTGAGGTTTGGTTTCATTCCGATGAGCACCAGTACGTATGAGACCTTCACTTTGACACAAGTGGTAAGTTGCGTGTCGTCGACGCCAATCATGTTTAAGAGGAGAACCTCTTTATTAGCTTTGATTTCTTTGACACAATGCATGGCTAGCGGTTCGTAACCACAGCTGGACGTAAACTTTCCCTTCATTTTCGAGTGAACGCAATGGTATTCCGGATACATATTCTCCGGCAACTGATTGAATATGAGCGACGGGTCCTCCGGATGCCTCCGAAAGGCGTGGATTGTGGGCACTCTTCTGAATCTGGTGGCAATGACAGCGTCGGCTGCACTCAGACCGGCGCCGACTATTAGGATAGGATCTGAAGAAGGCTTTACTTTGGATTCTGCTATAAGTGTTTCCAATTCGTTAAGTGAATGCAATACAAACGGCAGGTCCTCTCCGGGAACATTCATACGGTTGACGCGATCACAGTTACCGGTGGCCAACACTACTCGGGGGCTCATGTAATGGAAGTGATTGCCGTTGGAGTCGTGGCCATCGATTCGGTATTTATTGGTTTGTTCGTCGAATTCAAGTGAAGTGACGGAAGAGAAGTGTTTAAAGTTTTTCATTAAACCTTTCGTTTTGACGTAATTGTTATAATAGTTGGCGACAGTCGACAGGCTCACTCTGCTCTCCCTCCTATGCTCTGAACACCAGTTCCTTATATCCATGTCCGGCAACTGCATCCAAGAGCCCAAACTTATTGTAAGAATTTCTTTGCAGTCGTTCATTGAATGCCAGGCCCCGCCCGGAAGTCCTTTGCCGATCACCACGTGATCTACAACTTTGTCTGAGCGGTGTCTCCACTCGAGTGTCGATGGATTCTCGAAACCGAAATCGGCTTCCGGATGGTTTAAGTGGTCGAACAGAACCGACACTTTATTGATGGAACGGCCTTCCAGTCCATCGCTCAGCATTTCTAAGTCCTGTTCCACTAATGACTTGTTTAACTCGCTTTCATCGGTGAGCCGCCGGTGCAGATATTCGTTGGGATGCGATTGACTCGTGTAATAAGGCCAGTGGCCGGACAGCATATAACTCAAGCTTATAGCTGACGGCCCGTTGCCTATAATCACCACTTCTTTATTGATGTACGAATCCATTGATGAGAATTGACTGTAATTCGGGCGATACGAGTGTCGGCGCGAATCAGAGGAATGGGAGGCACAAGTAGTTGAGAATGACTTATATTTGAAGGCAATACCAAAAATCTTTAGTTTTTCCCAAAACCAGTCATTTATCACATTCTAGTTTAATATGAATACCAATGCTATCGCACTTCAAATCCGACTCAACACTGCAAATGAAATAAAGTCTTATTAAATACTTTTATTGAATAACTTTTTTTTTCCCAAAACCAGTCATTTATCACATTCTAGTTTCATATGAATACCAATGCTATCGCACTTCAAATCCGACTCAACACTGCAAATGAAATAAAGTCTTATTAAATACTTTTATTGAATAACTTTGACATGAAATTGAAAATTAGAAACTTATATCAAATTCATTACATTATGTTTGTGTTTGTCATCTCAATCACTAAATTACTGATTAGACGCTTAGCCGCTCAGAAGTCCTTAAAATTATTCTGTTCTGTGGATGACTTGTAACTCAATATCCATTCAAATAACTTAAGTCAAGAACACATGCCTTTAGGTCTTATTATTTTAGTTTTCATGTCTCGTCTAATATTGGCTATCGCTTTGAAATATGAGAATTAATTCTATGAAATCAATTGCAAATTATGTTCAATACTGACAAATGTTTGAAAAAATTTAGATTCTTCGCTCAGATTATTATTGGCTTTAATCATAATTTGTGTTCAATATTAGTATTTATTTTAGGAATAACTTAAATGTGGTTTTATCATTAGGATCGCAAATAAAATACTTGAGATCTGTTTTCCATTATAAATAGCATTTATTTTATAACACTTGTTGTTTTCACATCTCTGTTACTTAGTCTTTAATTATCTATTATTTGGCACCAAATCTTCAAAACAAATCAAATATTAATTCAGATTTTAAGGCCATATTTACACACTTTTCCATTAATATTTAATTCAATGATTTTCCAG